GAACTTCCACCAGGGGGTACCACCCCATAACATTTGAAAAAGGAAGGCTCCTGAACATGATTTTTAATGAAAATTGAAGTCCAGACACATGGAATTTTAGAAACTTTTCTGAACCCATGCTGTAATTTTATGAGGCAATTTAATTTGATTCCTTTTAAATAAAAGCTGCCCCACGGGCGGAGTAATAGGCAACAATCTTAAGCAGTATAAACCTATATAAGGGAACACCAATTAAAACCCCAGACTCCATTACTGTAACATAAATAGTCATGAATTAAATAAAATACATGCAATACCTTAGGAGAGCCAGACAAGTGAAGTTATTCTTACTTTAGCAAGAGAAATAGATATGCGAAAGTTGGCTTGGAAATAAAGGCTTTGCAAAAACAAAAATAAAGGCAGCTCAGATGTCCTGGAACTCCTTGCTTCAGCGAATGAAATGACTCTATTATCTCTAGGGTTTAAAAACTTACCTGCAATACTGCAAATTGGTTCAAAGTCGGAGTCTTCTGAGTTCCTTTAGGAGAAATTAAGTCAAAGAATTTTAGTATTGTAGTTGGGATACAGGACCCTAGAATTAAGTTGACCTTTGAACCCTTCATCTCTTGCTTACTACTGTGATGTAGCATGAGGGCTGGCTTGTTGGGGTTTCCGTCCCGCCCGGTACCCCAACAGCCGGCAAATCCCAAAGAGAAATTACACACAGGACTCCATAAGGTTATAAACTGATTGGCCCATCAGATCAGGCTCCTTATTAGTCCTTGTAACTTACATTAATCCATTATCATTATCTATGTTAGCACATGGCTCTGTACCTTTCTCAGCTAGGCAAGTTACATGTTGCCTCTTCAGTGGTCTGCGCAGGAGTGGCGAGAGAGCTTCCTGTGTCCCAGAAAACTCCCAGTCTCTTTGCTCCACCCCTACTTCCTGTCTGGCTTTCCCGCCTATACTGCCTGCCTGGCCAATCAGTGTTTTATTAAAATATGATTGACAGAATACAGACAATTCTCCCACACCACTGTGAGAATTTGGGCCATCTCTATCCCATTAGTCAGCATCCTGGTTCTGCATCCCTCCATTGGGAATGACAACTGACCCCCACCTCATTGGTTCGTGCTCTGAAGTAGATGAAATAATTAAAGGGTGGCTGACCTACAGAAGATGATAACCGATACCTTTACAGTCAATGAGTGATTGCCATGAAACTCCTGGGAGATGACATCTTAGGGAGCTCAGCAAGATTCCTGGCCAGCAAGGGGCACTGATCCTCTAGCAGAAGATTCATCAGAGGGAACCTTCATCTGGCGACGGATGGGGATAGAGACAGAGACCCACATTGGAGCACTGGACTTAACTCGCTAGGTCCAAATGAGAAGCAGAAGGAGGGAGGAAGTGAGCAAGGAAGTCAGGATCAGAGGGAACCTTCATCTGACAATGAATGGAGATAGAGACAGAGACCCACATTGGAGCACTGGACTGAGCTCCCAAGGTCCAAATGAGGAGCAGAAGGAGGGAGAACATGAAAAAGGAAGTCAGGACCGCCAGGGGGACGTTCACCCACTGATACAAGGGGACTGATCTAATGAGAGCTCACCAAGGCCAGCAGGACTGGGACTGAACGAGCACGTGATCAAACCGGATTCTCTGAATGTGGCTGACATGGGGGCTGTCTGAGAAGCCATTGATAATGGCACTGGGTCTTGTTTCCTCTGCATGTACTGACTTTTTGGGATCCTAGTCTGTTTGGATGCTCACCTTCCTAGACCTGGAGGGAGGGGGGAGGAACTTGAACTTCCCACAGGGCAGGAAACCCTGACTGCTCTTAGGACTGGAGAGGGAGGAGGAGAGGGAGTGGGGGGAGTGGGAGGGTATTGGGAGGAGGGGAGGAAGTGGAAATTTTTATAAATTAATAATAATAATAATTAAAAAAGAATTTCCGTACCAAAAAAAAAGGATGACATTTTAGGGTTACTGTTGCTGGGATGAAATATCATGACCAAAAGCAACCTGGCGAGGAAAGGTTTATTTGGCTCACAGTCCCACGTAACAGTTCATCATCAAAACCAGGGAGGGTAGGAACCTAGAGGCAAGAGCTAATACAGAGGCTATGGAGGGGTGCTGCTTACTGGTTTGCTCACCCTGCATCTTCACAGACTCCAGCCTTGGGATAGCACCACCTACAATGGGCTGTGCCCTCCCACATCGTTCACTAAATGATGTCTTACAGGCTTGCCTACAGCCTGATCGTATGGAGCCATTTTCCCAGTTGAGGTTCCCTCCTCTCAGATGACTTTAGCTTGTATCAAGTTGACATAAAACTAGCCAGCACAGATGACTAGGAACAGAAATCATCCCGTGGAAGGAGATATTAACTATCATACAGGTAAACAATTGTAAGGCTAGAAAAAAATGAAGCAACTTGCTATAGTCACACAGCTATTTCCTTACTTTAGAGTAAGCTGGACTTCCTTAATGACAGGCCAGCATTCCTTCCCCAATATCAGAGGACTCTCCCAGTGTCTGACAGCTAATTAACATAGAGTAAATATATTCCTTGGCTAAAAATAGATTTTTAGGACAAAATTTTGCTTAAGTAACAAAATAAATGCATTGTGTGACAGTTTGAAAGACTCTTACGGCAACATATATTTAAGTGGTTGAATTTTAAGTTCGTTTCTTACTTTAGAAATTTATCTTTAGAAAATAATTTTTTAATTATATGCCAAAGTTCACTACCACACACCTTGGAATGCTGACAAAGTAAAATTCCATATGTTGAACAACAGGAGGACAATTAAAGATGACAGACCCATGAATTATGGAACTCCCAGAAAGTGACAAAGAAGCCTGGGGCTGTATCTCAGTGGTAATGCCAGCTCTGCAAATGCGAAGCCCTGAGCTGGGTCCCCAGCACTGGAGAAAAAAGAAGCTGGGTTTTAAAGGGACCGGCAGGGAGAAAGAAGGAGACAAGGAGAAGATGACAGCAAAGAAGACAAAATACAAAGGAACATACAAAATATTTATCTCATTCTTCATTTCCTTCCAAAAGGCAGCGATTTGGCAAGTAGAATGACAATTTATTTTATGCTAATTATAACCAATTAAAATTACTTACTTGGTTAAAACTTAGAAAAAAAGAAGGCAAGAATGAAGTAGTTTTAGGAATATTTGGATGAGAAATTTCTCCCCCCCCTTGAGTTCTCCTAAGAATGATACAATAAATAATCATGCAGAATGAATGCATTTCTTCATGCGATTGGTACTAGAAAAAGTTCACATGATCCAAGCATCTTTTAATAATTATGATGACATCTATAATAAAAGCAAAGGCCCAAGCCAGAGCCTTTGTCACACAATGAGTTCTGAGGGGCGCATGGTTTACAGCAGTCCCTAGACTGTCTGAATTCATGAGCTGGTACAGGAAATAGGACACATAGCCATCCCTTCAAATTCTAGGGGCACTGGTTCCAGGAACCCTGAAGGATGCCAAGATCTGTAGATGCTCAAGTACCCAACATAAACTGGTATAGTATTTGCATAAAACATACACAGATAGTTGCTGAATACTTTAAGCTACCTCTAAATTTCTAGTAATGCAAGAAATGTCCTATATTGTCTAGGGAAGGATATGAGAAATGTCTCAACATATTCAGCACAGACAAAATTGTTTTCTTTAAATGCTTTCCAATTAAACTTGGTTGAATCTGCAGACACAGATCACAGCACTACTTACCTTAGTCCTCATTTCCCATCCCAGTCTTTCCTGTCATCAGTCAGCCCAGTGGAACCTTTGCCTCTCTGGATGGTGAGCTTGGCTCGATTTTCTGAAATACCGACTCATCACTTCAACCGTCCCTCCGCAGGGATCCGAAGATGATGACCATTTTCTTTTCCAATCCATTTCTCCAGGAAACCCCCTGAAGCTGGGTCTAGCCCGAACCTGAGACATATGATTCCCTGGTAATCCTTTGTGAATTCCTGACTGACACCCTCTTCCCAAGCCCTCAACCCTCCCTTCAGCCCACTCACACCACCCCTTCCCTCTGCTAGACAGTTGATACTGCCTTTTGTTGCAAGAAGGAATGCCTGGCCTCAGGGTCTCACTCACACCAGCCTCTAGAGTGGCTGAGGCTACTGTGTCACCAGCTCTAGGCAGGAAGAAATTTGTACAGGAAAACTGGCTGAGCCTAAAGTCCAGTTGTCTCCTTCCTTGTCCTTCCCTCTCACTCTCTGGTTTTCAGAGCCAACAAGGTGCTAGCTTCCCAGACCTGAGTACATCCTCGTCTGTGCCATCATCTTCCCCCAAACAACATGCCTCTCCCAGCTAGAAAGAGGTCTTTCCTTTAGAGTAAAAGTTCTTCTAGGTCATTATCACTGGCTTTTTCCTCCTCTTTTTACAAATATCTAGAGAGCTCCCTTTTTTCACTGCCTGTTTCCCCCTCTCCCTCTCCTGATGCCAGCTAACCCCTCCTGTTATGGAAAAAACAAACCACACTGCAATTCCCCCAATGGCCCAGCGAGTCCTGGGCAGGAAGCCACGCGGCAGGTGAGAGCCGGTCGGCGGGTCCATTGGTCTCATGAGGAGCCACAGCCTCGTTGGGTGAGAGACAGAGAAGAACAGACACACCATGCAGAAAAAGTGAGGTTTTATTTAGTGGGTTATGAAGGGAAAAGGGAAAAGGGGAAAGGGGGAAGGGGAGAAGGGAGAAGAATGGAGTGGGGGAGAGAGAAACACACAGGTGGGGAAGGGGAGAAGGGAGAGAGGCAGAAGTTGCCTCTTTGGGAGAGAGATGGAAAGTGAGAAACTCTGGCTAGAAGTGGAAGCTGAAGATCAGCCTGCCTCAGCAGATGGGGGAGTGGGCGGGGCTTGTCTCTTAAAGGGACAGGACAGACCATTACATTCCCATCTCTTATATATATATATATATATGTATATGTATATATATATACATATATATATAAAACAAAAAGGTAGAAAATTAATCACAACAGGTTAAAGGAATTGGGGTGGCAGATTCTCAAGACTGCTTCCTGCTTATTTGTGGGCATTATCTTGGGGGGAACCTGAGAAAGTTGGGTCTTGCTCACATCCTGGAGTAGCTGGTCTCTTTGTTGCTGTCTGGTGTTAATGTCTAGTGTCTCTTATACCTGTTTAAGGTATTGGTAGAACAGAGGACAAAGTTAAGTTTAGGGAAAAAAAATTTAGGATCAGGGAATTGAGAGGAGTGTATCTGACCTGTTATTGTTCAATCTTGGGTGGCTGAATGCCACTTGTCCCTCTGAGAAGTGTGTACACATTGGTGCTTGTGACTCGGCCAGGCTCTCTCCGTATTTCCTCCTGCCCACAGGTGGGTTGGCTGAGGAAACTTGGAACCCTGGGCCCCAGAACCAGGTTGTAAAGATTTCTTTATAACAGCTCGGTTTTCTATCTGCCTAACATCAACCTCTACACACACTAGTGGCTTCAGTGGTGAGTTTTCCCCTTCTAGTCAGCCAACCACAGCCTTCAAGGCTATGGTTGAGCCCTTCGCTGACATACATCTCTGGTTGCTTTCCATAGCTAAAAACACGATCACACTACCCAGGGTTATTCCTCCCATGCTAGCACTGCACACGCTGGCTTCTGAATCACCCAGACCGGAGCCAGTCAAGCTTTAACACCCTGCATGTAGAGAAGAGACGTCTTCCTGTAGGCTTTGCGTCCTCCTATAGGCCCTATGGTGTTTTTGCAAGTTTTCACATCTTCAGCTATGGTATAAACCACCTGTAAATGCTCCGCAGGTATCCCACCGACTCCATTTTTCCTTAAACTGTCCCTGCCACCGCTACTGCTGCCAACAAGATTGGTCAGATCCAGGAGGCAGCTGTTTTCAATTCCAGACTTTGTTCCCCACCATGGCTTGTGGCGCAGTGGCTCAGTGACAGGGCAGATCATGCCTCTAGGTCTCTCTTGTAATTATCTTTAAAACTCCCTCGGCTCAAAAAACATGGCTTTTCCATACAACATGTGACCGCTGCCATTTTGACTGAGGTCAGGTGACCTTACCGCCATCTTAATTGAGGGCCAGGTGACTTTGCTGCCATCTTAACTGATGGCCAGATCAGGTGGCCACGTCCCGCCATCTATACTGAGGTATTCCCTGCCTGGGATCCACTGCCCATCGTGGACAGCAGGCCACTTGGGAAACAGCACTGTTTTATTTTTACCTTAATCAGCAGAATGAGTAAACTATCGCCTTTGGGAAATCAGGGAAGAAGGGTCAAGGAGAAAAGGCCCTGAGTTCCTCAGGTGAGCTTCCAGGGGTTTGGCAGCCATGCAGCCGTCGGCTGAAGATCCATCAGATAAAGTTGTGAGAACCAATTCCTTCCTGCAGCCTGATCCGACAGAAGGGTGGGAGAAAGTCACCAGAAGGGTAAAGAGATCTGCTTATTCTTGTGTCAGAAGAAAGAAAGAGTGTAAGGGGGAATGGACCATACTCTGGGGACTTAAAAGGGCTAGAGGTAGAATTGAAGACAGCGGGGTCTTCCGCAATATTCTAACAGCTAGCACTTTCTACCTACATCCATTCAATGGAAGAAAATCAACTTTCCACTGTTAAAATAATTTTGCTTTTTAATTTTAGTGCCAGTCTTGAATGTGTTAAGAAAAATCTTAAGATGGGCCTCTTCGCCAGGCTCAAAGAACTCCAATCAAACCAGACTGAACTGAATTACAAATGCCCCTTTAATAAATGTGACACTCTTGGGTGGCTGGGAGCCCGGGGGGGTGGGGGGGGGAGAGACAGAGAGAGAGTACACATAAAACCCAAAACCATGTGTTCCTTTTTTCATTGCAAACCTAAATACCCTGTGGGAGTGGTCCTGACCCCCCCCCAGGAAGGGGTCAGCACTTGGCAGGCTGGGAGTTGGAGTCCAAGCACTTGGCAGGTTGGGAATTGGAGTCCAAGTACTTGGCAATTCCCAGGCCAGGGTCTGGGGTGACACTTCCAACTCAATATTACATTCCAGACTCTTTGGATATAGGGGTGTTAGAGGGCTGGGGTCTCACTTTTGACCAGTGTGTACAGCTTGATATATGGCTGCTTTGATTCTTAACCCTAAGGAATATGTGCCTGTCTACTCCTGTGATAAAAATACCACGGCGAAAAGCAGCCTGGGGAGGATAGGGCTTAGCTCTTCCACATCACGGGCCATCACCAAAGGAAGCTAGGACAGGAGCCTGGAGGTGGGAACTAAAGCAGAAGACATGGAGGAACATTGCTTACTGGATTGCTTCCCACGGGTCCCCCCAGACAGCATTTCTGTGTAACAGTCCTCACTATCCTGTAACTCGCTTTGTAGGTCAGGCTGTCCTTGAATTTACTGAGACTCACCTGCCTGTGCCTCCCAAGTGCTGGGATTAAAGGTGTCCGCCACCTCCCAGTTCCTTGTTCTCTTATGTATTCCAGGGCTATCTGCCCAAAGGTGGCAGCAAACACTGCATTCATTAACCAACAATACCCCACAGACTTGCCTACCGGCCAGTGATCACCCTCCTCAGATAACTCTAGTTTGTGTCAGGTTGACATACGGAACAGCAGCCTGGACAGCACCCTCTGGGGGGATGACAAAGGCTCCAGTTTCTTCTCACTTCCTTTTGTCTTCTACACTGTTTAGCAGAGGGCTGAAAACTTGGAAGACAACTTTTAAAACTATTTTAAACAAGTATTTAAACTTTCCAAATTTCGGTGGGTTTTGAGCGGTTCCTGAGCGCAATACGTAATACAGGTGTGGAAGTTTAACAGAGGCAGACTGAAGTTATTGGCACTTTAGGAGCTGGAGATGTGCGTGGGCTTCGGTAGCTAAGGAGGATTTAATACATGAACTAGGCTCTGGTGGACTCTAATCAACCTAGATTCAAAAACAACAAAACAAACAAAAACAGAGTACCAGGCAACACTTAGAGCTAATCAGTTTTTACATACTTGATAAATCCGTCTAGTTCACCTTTCTTAGACCAAGCAAGTCAAATGTCCTTGACTGTGGCTATCAGCTAGATCTCCTAGGAACAGGCTGGTCAAGCAGGCAATCTGAAAAAATGTCACGTGGAGTCCACAGCATTTTTTCCCCTCCTTTGTGGTTTCTCCCACCACCTAGAGAAAACAAAGGCCACAAACTCTCTCAGTCTTTGATTCTTTTTAAAAACATCATTTTTTTTTTAACAGAACTTTTCCAGCTTTCGTAGTTATTAAGCCAGACTGGAACATCTGGCTACAAAGTAATTGTCCCTTCAGTAAAGGCGCGCCCCCCCCCCCCTGGCAGTAGATACAGAAATAGATACAGTTACCACAATGTAATTCCCAGGGCACTAGAACCTGCGCTGGAAAACTAAGTGAAAGCCTACTGAAGACTCACCCTTTTCCTTTAGTAACGAGGATTAACAACCTAACAAGGTAATAAATAATCAAGCCAACAGAACCCCACCCTGGAATGAGCTCTGGGGTGGAACTTTATGCTTGAAGGCGGGCTTTGTGACTGGGAGAAAGTGGCTCAGGCTCTGTAGAAGGCAGAGAGGGATGTGACTGCCGAGCAAAGGTATGAGCTACTCAGATCCCATCACTCACAGTGAACTGGGGGAAAAGGGGGGAGGGAGAGCAGTACACAGAGAGCCAAGGAGCCCGAGCCGGCCGGGTGAGTTGGGGAACCCCGCCCTGCTCACCTGGGAAGGGCGCCACGCAGGGGCGGAGCCGTCTCAGGTCACCTGGGTGGTGGCGGAACTGAACCGAGGCCTCTGGGCGGACGCCGGGCACCTGGCCGTCCACCTCACCTGCGCGGAGGGCGGGCCGGGCGCACCTGCGCGGGCG